GAACAACATGAAGGTGTGAAGAGAACAGCTCCCTGCTTGGCAGGGCCCTGGGGAGCTCCCAGCTGTTTGGCAGGGCCTGACGGATTTCTCTCTAACCACCTGGATGCAGTTTCACCACCTTTCGCATGGACACTCAAGCACCCCACTAAGAATTTTATAATCTACTGAGGCATTGTTTGCCCCTGTGAGATGGCTTTTACAACCAACATGAGCTTAAGAGTCAATGTTACTGATAACGTCTTGGTGAGTGGGCCTTCAACTGTGCACAGGAGTACAATTAAGCCCATGCTGTTTCCAGACACCTTATTGAGTGTCTGCCCATTGCCATAAAATCTGGCCTAAACATTTAGCATGCTTTCTGAGAGATAGCTTGATAAGAATTTTACAAACTAATGGAAGTAATGGGAGTATCGGCTGAAACTGCTATGACAAAAAATATAGCTACTGTGACCCTAAAGGCTATCCTGCTGTGGCAAAAATATAGTTACTGTGACCTTAAAGATTAGCCAGCCCTTGCAACTCTTTAGAACATAGAAAATGTAGTTGCTTTAGCTGCCTTCATAATTTTTTAACTAGAGGAAATATAGGGTGATTTTGCTAACATCATACAGATATACTTTTGATTATTGTTTGATCATTTATGAGGTCGTAGAACCTGCAGATGTAGAGGGATTTAATGTTTGAAACTTTTTGTCTTAAATCTTTATGTTTTTTCTCTTTTGATGTATTTCCCTCATTAAGTGATGGATAACTTGTAGAAGAATTGTAGTAGGAGTGAATTACTGAATAAGATGTGTTGTCTACTGAGAAATTCTTAGCTGCAACATCAGAATGGATAATGCCCTGTCTTAAGGTGAAACTATTTGTAGAATTATCTTTGGAAACATTCACTTGCCCACTATAGCATTGAAACTTAAATGGAGTAAACATGGCTCATTGCTAACTGCAATTCTTTCTGCCGTCATCACTCTTGCTTTACTTGTTTAGTTAACAAACTGTGTGAGCTTGCAGACCTAATGGCCTTTAGTGCCAATGGCCCCTAATCCCCATAGACCAAGGTCCCAGACTTACTAACCCATACATAATTCAAGGTGGGGGTCTGGTTGTCACAGGTGTGCCAAGGATAGAACCCAGACTTGAGGAGAGCAGGTGGGGGCGGGCAAGCCGAGATAAGCAAGGAATGTGGAATCCTTCCTCACTGACTCCTCAAACTGTTGTAAATCGTGCCCCCCTTGAAGCTATGTCAAATTGCCCTAAAAGAAAACCGTGTACTGCTTCTGTATAAATAAAGCGGACAGCTTTCTCGCAGAGTCCACAATGATGTTGGAATTGTAGTGGTCCATTTCTTTTCCTCTTTCTATGCCTATTTCACGCACCCTTCTCGAGCTCCGAACTCAGCTGGAGCTGACTCCGGCAGGACTTAAAGAGCAGGTGAAGGACAAAGCTGCATCTCTGGATGAGTGTGTCCCCCAAGGAGGAGTGACCAGGCCAGGAGGGAGTGGGCTGCCCCAGGGAGAGCACACAGAGCAGGGCAGTGGGCAGCGGAAAGGGCCCCAGCAGCTGAAGCATCACCTGCTTCCCCCAGGACACATGTTAGCAAGAACCTGGTGCAAAACAGGATGGAACCCAGGCTCGCTGATACGGGATGCAGCAGCTCCTCAACTGACAGCCCAAATGTAGGCCCCTAAAATGGGTTTTTAAATCATGAGGCATCAAATATTTTCAGTTTGTCCTGGTGGGACAAGAACAGCCTGCACAGAGAATGGTTCCATTTTGAGATGGGAAAAATGCAACGAGATGTCCAACCCATGCCCCATACTCAGTCAGCTTTCGCTACAACAAGGCCCAGTGTCCTCCCGCAGGTGCCCCCTCATGGGGCTTACACTCAGGCACATCCTGAGCACAGCAGGGGCCAGCCTTGTGGCATACTAGCAAAGCGGCAATCTACAGCCTGGGCATCCTACATGGGTGCTGGTTCAAGACCCAGCTGCTCCACTTCCCATGCAGCTCCTTGCTAATATACCTGGGAAAGCAGCAGAGGACGGCTCAAGTGCCTGGACCCCTGGACCCATGCAGGAGTCCAGGAGGAGTCTTCTGACTTCAGCCTGGCCCAGCCCCAGCTGTTGTGGACTGAAACAACTGCTGAAAGATCTCTTTCTCTCTCTCTGTCTGATTCTCGCTCTCCCTCTCTGTAACTCCCCCTCTCAAATAAATAATTTTTAAGAAAATTAGAATGAGAAAACAACTACAGAGGCACCTGAAGGCCTGAGATGACTTACAGGTTATAACAACAATCATCAGTAAACACATTCACTGATTAATTGTTTCAGTGATGGGCAGTCTGGTGCCGAGTGGATGACCCCTCATGAGCAGAGGCTGTGATCCCCTGTCTCATGGTCTTTAGTGCTAGCAGGCCTAGACATCAAGTGCTTGCTCCCTGCACACACAGGGGAGACCTGGAAGAAGCTCCCGGCTCCTGACTTTGCATTGGTTGAGCTTTGGCCATTGTGGCTATCTGGGGAGTAAACCAACAGATGGAAAAATCTGTTTCTCCATCTCTTCCTCTCTCTGTCATTCTGACTTCCAAATAAGCACATGTAAATATTCTTTAAAAATTATGAAAATCATATCCAAAACCACATCTCTAGCTGCCAAGTCCTCTCTGCTCTGGTATGACATTATATATCTGCGTGGCTACAGATTTGGTTTCTTGGTTCCCAGGAATAATAATTTCTCCAAGAAAAAAAATAATAATAGCTGCCAAGAGGCCAGGGCCACTCCACAGAAGCTGCCACGCTCCTCGGCTTTCCCACCGCAGGACCACAGCTGGCGTCAACCGATGCTTACCCAATTTGGAAGAACGTTCTGCGACTGGGAAACCTGAGCCAGAAGGCTGAGGGGACCTCCAGAACTCTAGGTACCCCTTCCCACCTCCTGGCACTCCTTTCTCAGACCTCTCTTGGGTCACCGTGAGGAGCAGACTGGCCTGGGGGTGTCAGCTGGGTGACACAGCAGCACTGGCCTAAGCAGGAGGCAGCTGGCTGTCCCTCTCGGCTGGCCTCTCAGGCCTGGCTCCTGCAGCCTCCACCGCCCCATCTCACTAGGTTAAGAGTCAGCGCTTAAGGCACTCTGGGTGGGATACAGAATTGCTATCCTGACCGTGGATTACCCTGTATTTAAGATACTCTGCACCAAGCACCCGTGTCAAGGGCCTCCTTAAACAAGCACCAGGTCAATGTTCGAAACAACATGAACTTGGAGAATGCTCATCTGAGTCACCCACGGCACGGTTATCGGCACCCTGGAGGGCGAGGCTGGGTCCAGGGGCTCAGAGGAGAGGGGCACCCACTTCCTGGACCCCGACTCACAGCTCTCTGAGTGTACACACTTGACACGCTGGCTATGCAAAGCAGTGCAAAGCTGGACCTTGATGGTGCCCAGACACCCAGGAGGCAGGGAGCTGCCCTTTGGTTCCTCTGTCCAGACACAGGGAAGGGGTCACAACTCACGGTCCCAGATTTGAAGCCTCGTGCATGACGCTGCAGCTAGGATTGCTGCTGACCAAGTCACAACGTGTATAAATCTCACCCAGGTGCCTCTTTCTCAGCCCAGTTGGCTGGATCCCCCCGCCCCCCACTCCATGTTCATGACTTACAAAGCCCAGGCTCTTTCTCCTGAAGCCAGTGTCCAGCCAGATACTCCACTGCCCACGTCCTTTTGGGGAGGTGTTCTGTCGCTTTCCCTTGGCTATGATTCAAGTTTCCACTACGTCTGCATTTGCTCCCCAGCTTCTTTCTATATAAGCTGAGAAAAGAACTCCAACCTTCAGGAACAGAGGACCTGCCTGTAGACCCACCAGGACCCCACTCCTGGGTGCTGGGTGCTGAGTGCTGAGTCTGTGTGTGGGTGCCAGGGCCTCCTATAGGCCTGCTCTGACCTCTTCTCCTGGGTGCTGGGTACTGGGTGCTGAGTGCTGAGTCTGTGTGTGGGTGCCAGGGCCTCCTATAGGCCTGCTCTGCCCCTCCTCCTGGGTACTGGGTGCTGGGTGCTGAGTCTGTGTGTGGGTGCCAGGGCCTCCTGTAGGCCTGCTCTGCCCCTCCTCCTGGGTGCTGGGTGCTGGGTGCTGAGTCTGTGTGTGGGTGCCAGGGCCTCCTGTAGGCCTGCTCTGCCCCTCCTCCTGGGTGCTGGGTGCTGGGTGCTGAGTCTGTGTGTGGGTGCCAGGGCCTCCTATAGGCCTGTTCTGACCCCTCCTCCTGGGTGCTGGGTGCTGTGTGCTGTGTGTGGCTGTCAGGCACTTGAATGCCAGTTTTCTCCTCCCCTTTCCGGGGATGAAGCTGCCCTAGGGACCATGCCCTCCTCTCTCCCCAGCAAAGGCAGACGGTCACACTCCAGTGCTGATGGCCATGTCTGCTCTCTAAGTGAGGAGGTGTAGAAGGAAGCTCACCTCCCTGCAGGCAGCCCCCATGCTGGGCTGACACAGAGTGACACCGTGGGAAGAAGGGGAGCTCCAGGTCAAGTCCCAAGGTGTCACTGCCAGTACCTCAAGTTGGACCTGCCTCCACGTGCAGCTTTCACTCCTGGAGCCATCGACTGGCCAGCGTCTGCGCAGGAGCCCAGTGCCTGCCTCGGCCCCTCCCCATGACCTGGGGGAGCCTCTCGGCCTATCTCCGCCCCACCCCGGTCCCAGCTGGGCCACAGCAAACAAGCAGCACTGCTGCTACCTGGAAGGCCGGCGGCCACTCTGAGGACAGGACCGAGGATGGGGAAGAGGCTGAGCCCCAGTCAGCACAGCTGTGAAGGTGGCTGGGCACACCTTGTGCAGGAGGCTGACCATCGCCGGAGCAGCCACGCCAGGGTTGAAAGCCAAGGTGTCCTCGGATACTTTGGCTGGCTTGGCTCAGAAAGCCCTGGAGGAGCTTCCAGAAGGTTCCAAGAGAGGAAGGCCCCAAGCCCCAGCCCATGAACGGCAGCAGGAGGGAGACCACACAGGGACAACTCACATGGCGCCGCATCTCGTTGGCCACGGTGTGCGACATCATGACGCAGCAGAGCACGGCGACCAGGATGAAGTAGAGCGCATACATGCAGCGCGTGCTCCGGGACTGGCGGATCTTGGGGCAGCAGCCACAGCACAGGGAGCAGCCGGCGGAGCCGCAGCAGCAGGCCAGCTGGAAGGGAGCACAGGGCAGGCTCAGTGCACGTGCACAACGGGAACGGCTACTCCACTGCTGACCCAGCTCCCTGCTAACCTGCCTGGGAAGCCCGCAGAGGGTGGCCTAGGCGCTTGGTCCCCTGCAGCCACATGGGAGCCCCAGAAAAACTCCTGGCTTCAGACCAGACCAGCTCTGGCAGTTGTGGCCATTTGGGGAGTAAACTGGAAGATGCAAGATCTGTGGCTGTGTCTTTCTGGAACTCTTTCAAATAAATAAATTAATATTTTTTAAATAAAAGTAATTAAAGGATGGCTTTTCAGAGTGGGGAAGAGGGGCCCAACAGTTAAGACCCCTGCCTCCATATGAGGGTGTTTGGATTCGGCCCCAACTCTGATGCCCGGCTCCAACTCCCTGCCACCCATGTGAAGGTCCTGGATAGATTCCCAACCCCCAGCTCTAGGTCCAAGGCTCCCGCAGGTTTCTGGAAAAGCCAACCACAAGTGAAGCTTTTCTATCTCTTGCCCACTCAAAAAAGTAATCATACTTTTGGTGCACAAACTTGCAAAATCTGTACATGTTTCGTCTTATGTGCTTGCATGAATATTCTGAAAACACCGGACAGGGGACTCTGCCCTCCCCCTGGTACCAGAGGTGCAGCACCAAGGGGAGACTCACGCTAGACCTGGGGCAGGGGACAGCAAGCCCAAGCAGTCAGCACGGAGGTTCACTGAACCTCACACACCCAGGCAGCACCGAGCCCCACGGGGCTGCTGCTTCACGCGCCCAGGCAGCACGGAGCCCCACGGGGCTGCTGCTTCACGCGCCCAGGCAGCACAGAGCCCCACGGTGCTGGTTCATGTGCCCAGGCAGCACAGAGCCCCATGGTGCTGCTGCTTCACGCGCCCAGGCAGCACGGAGCCCCACGGGGCTGCTGTTTCACGCGCCCAGGCAGCACAGAGCCCCACGGTGCTGGTTCATGTGCCCAGGCAGCACAGAGCCCCACGGTGCTGCTGCTTCATGCACCTTTGCCCAGACATCACAGGGCAACAAGCCCCAGTTGCTGATGGTGTCCTGACCCCAGGGAGTGTGGGGGGTGCCGGTGCCAACACTGACATGCAGTGGGGTATAAGAGGAGGCCAATAGTGAAACAGAAAAGGCATGGCTTGTCCGAAACTGTGTCACCACCCCTCTAAGACAAAACAGTACTGCCATCGCCAAGGGGGATGTGGGCAGCGGCCCTAAGAACTAGAAGACAGAGAGGCAGGGGGAAGGAAAATGAAGAGCAAGCAACTGAGCACAGGAAGTGACCTCTACCACACAGGAGCCACAGTCAAGGCAGAAGCACTCAGGACCTCCTGGCGTGCATAGAATAAGCTCTGAGTGCACTGCTCTGAGTGCACCGGGTGAAGCCACAATCTGCAGTGCCAGCATCCCTCACACCAAGTGCTGGTTGAGTCCTGGCTGCTCCACTTCTGATCCTGGGAGAGCAGCAGCAAATGGCCCTTGTATTGGAGGTCCTGCCACCCACACAGGAGCCTGGACAGAGTTCCCACCTGCTGGGCTTCACCCAGCCCACCCCTGGCTATTGCACCATTTGAGTGCAGGAGTGAATCAGTGCATAGAAGAACTTCCTCTCTGTGTCTCTTCCCCCCACCTCTCTCTCTCTAATTCTGATGTTGAAATAAGTAAAGCTTTTAAAAACAACAGCTTTGTTCACAGAAAATAACTGGGATGCGTCCACCATGCAGCTCAAAACGAAGGGGAGCTTTTCCCAGCACTTAATATCCCTAAAGGGCAGAGCTGGGCCCAGGGCAGCAGAGACTAGGGACATAGCCCTATCCTGAAGAGCGGCTAACACTCCAGCCTCATGGTCAGCCTGTGGCGTGTGCGCAAGCTACTAGCTATGGACAGCGAGCGAGTGAAGGGCAGTGGGTGAGGGTCCTGCTGCGGTGTCCAGGATGAGCAAATCAGGCACACCTGGCATCTGAGGACACCACTCTTAAACAGAAGCCATCATGGGCCACTGCGAAGGACAGCTAACCCGTGTGCGGGAGCTAGCAAACCCCAGACCTAATGATTCCAAGGCCACACTCTATACCCAACCCAGAGTGAGGCAACACCGCACGTTACAGGGACACGGCACATCCCGAGAACGCCTCGGCAGACCCCGGAGACACAGACACATCCCCATTAACCCCAAGGGCCTCGGAAAGCCACCATTTTTTTTTTTAAAGATTTATTCATTTTTTTATTACAAAGTCAGATATACAGAGAGGAGGAGAGACAGAGGGGAAGATCTTCCATCCGATGATTCACTCCCCAAGTGAGCGCAACAGCCGCTGCTATGCTGATCCGAAGCCAGGATACAGGGAACTTCTTCCGGGTCTCCCACACGGGTACAGGGTCCCAAAAAATTGGGCCGTCCTCGACTGCTTTCCCAGGCCACAGGCAGGGAGCTGGATGGGAAGTGGAGCTGCCGGGATTAGAACCAGCGCCCATATGGGATTGTGGCGCGTTCAAGGTGAGGACTCTAGCCGCTAGGCCACGCTGCCAGGCCTGGAAAGCCACCATTTGGAGCGAACCTTTTGTCACAACAGTCCGGAATTCCCCACGTCAGATTCCTGCTGGGGCCCTCTCCGGACGCCAGAGATAACGTGGACGTAGCCATATCTGTGCTATTAGGGGCAGCCCCAAGCTTTACAGCCAACCTCTTCCCACTCCAGACCAAACAAACCATATTGCCTCCTTCTCTCCCCTCCTCCACCCCACGGGTTACCAACTTTCCCGGTCGCTGCTTCCTCCTTATGACTCATATGATCCCAGAAGGCCAGTCTGACCCATTGCAAGTTCAAGTGCAATAAATAAAAACTTATTCTTTCAGTGGGGAGCGGGGGGGGGGGGGGGGAGAAAGATTTTAGAACTGCGGGACACCTCCCACATAAAGAGTTGAATCCACACTTGAGCTTCCTACCTGTACCTACACAGAAGGGAGGGACAGAGACACACCCCTCACCTGGCCAGGCAATGGCAGACAGAGGGATAAAACGCCGGGAAACAGGAAGAACCAGGCAACTGGTTTTACCCTATCCCATCACTACAGTCAGGTACCATTGTATGGGTCTGGTTTTCTCAAACTTTCCTTCATTTTACTAGACACAATGGTGTGGTGTTTTTAAAAATACTAGGCCCGGTGTGGTAGCCTAGTGGCTAAAGTCCTCTCTCGCCTTGCACACACTAGGATCCCACATGATCACTGGTTCATGTTCCTGCTGTTCCACTTCCCAGCCAGCAGCCAGAGCTGAGCTGATCTGAAACGAGCAGCCAGGAGCTTCTTCAGGTCTCCCATACAGGTACAGGGTCCCAAAGCTTTGGACCGTCCTTGACTACTTTCCCAGGCCACAAGCAGGGAGCTGGATGGGAAGTGGAACAGCCAGGAAACAAACCGGTGCCCATATGGGATCCCAGCAGATAGAAGGTGAGGATTTAGCCACTAGGCTATCATGTTGGGCCTAGATGGCTTCATCTTTAAATTATGTCTCCCACAACTGCTTGAACATTTTCCCATTTCAATGTTGTGGCTCAGCAACATGCACCACTGTCCTCCAATGACGGGGCCACTTCCTCCATTGCAGGCTTAGAGGGGACGGACACAGCACCTGCTCTGAGCAGTGTTGGGCCTTGCCTCTCCACTCTACCAGGCCTATGCAGACGCTGTCCCGACAACAAGACGACAGTGATGGGGCTGATGGCAACTGCTGCCACTCCTTGGCCAGGGATGGGCTTGATGGCCAGTGAGGAATTGGTGACCTTAACGCCAGGAAGACACACACACACATACACACATCCCTGTCCATGAAAGAAAGGTCTTGCAGGTGGATGTTGGGCTCAGCAGTTAAGCTGCTAGCTTGGGACACCTGCGTTCCATTTTGCACCACCTGGGTTCAAGTCCCAGGTCCACTTCTGACTCCAGCTTCCTGCTAACACAAACCTTGAAAGGCACCACTGGTGGCCCCAGTACTTAGGCCCCTGCCACTCTCAGAGACCCAGGTGCCCAGCCCTGAATGCTGCATGCCTGTGGGGAGTGAACCAGTGAATAGGAAATTTCTGTTGTTCTGCCTTTCAGAGAAATAAAATACGTAAAAGGGAGCCCAAGTAGCTGCAGATAGTCCTGAATCCACAAAACACTCACGTGCTGTGGAAACTAAATACATGGGGTTGATACGTGGGTTGGCTTGGGGCTTCCTGTGGGTTGAGCTCATGCATCAAGGCCTCTATTCAAGCCTCCTTAACAGTCAACACACATTACTCTGTCACTGTCTGCAAAACGTGGCAGGTGTGACTATTAGCTGGGGTGGTCCTCTGCTTCACAGGGGTGCCAGCTGGGCAATTCAAACTGAGCTGACAAAGCCAGGATGCGTCCTGCCTCACTTGAGAATTCTGCTCTCTTCACTGTAGCTGCCAAGAGTGGAGCAGGACCACCGTGGGCTCCTGCACAGGGATGGGAAGCAGCTGTTTCCCCTCCTGCTCTCACACATGGAGGCCCTCAACACACACAACACATGGGGGCTCAGCTTTCCACCCCACCTTCTGAAGACCCCCTCGTACTGGAGAAGTCATCTCCCCTCCCATGCCCCTGCCTCCCTCCCTCCCTGACTCAGCATGCAGCAGTGACATCATCTGTGACCTGCTCACACAGTAATGACGTCATCCATGACCTGTCCCAGCAGGCAGACCACCTCTTGCCACGTCCCCCGGGGGTGACAGCCAGGCCATGCACCCTCACTGTGTGATATCCTGCAGATTTGTTGCATGCATGTGACCGCCTGGATGGCAGCAGCACACAGGAACCACGCTCCTATCCCCACCAAGCAATAACACACAGACCTGAGAACATCCACCAGTCCGGGAGAGACAGGAAACATGGGGCCAGCACGTGGTGCAGCAGCTCAGCTCTACCCACAGCATCCATATGAACGCTTGCTCAAGTCCCAGCTGCTCTACTTCCCATCCAGCTC